TTTGGTTACTTAGATATGACGAATCCAGATAGTTTAATGTACTTCGAATACACAGATTACCATTTCAATTGAATGCTAACAAGGATTCGTGGTTGATCCATGAAAAAGTTACGAGAAGGCTAATCAGTTGAGTCATGGAAACCGAAATATACCACACATCCTAATTCACGGTGCTTAACCAGCATCCATTTGGAATTTTTGTTTGTCTACACCACAACCTTATTGCAGCCAATGGATGTGAGAAGCATAAACAATTTAAAGACATTGTATCATGGAAATTGGGTGAACTACAGCCGTGAACGAGTTGCAAAATATCTAGTGACGTCACAAATTAGCAGTCAAGGGAGTGAGTTCAAGGCTTGTCCTTTTACAAACAACACGTCTTTTTAATCGAGGATATGAAGACCAAGATGGTGGCCTTTTGTCTCATCGCAGTCTCCTTTCGTTGTATAGCAGTTGTTTGACCTTGTTTTCTCAACTGAGTCATATTGGTAGGAAAACTTAGAGGAAGGCACCTTGTCCCGAGTCCATCGTATGCATAATTATTTCCAAAGTCGGACAGTGGACGTGGTACATTCCCAGACGTTTCGCCGGCATCGTCAGTGAGTCTCGTCATTTGCAGTACCATATTACGTGTCAGATAAAAGTGAAGCCGATCCTTCGACCAAACGATTGCTAAACTGTTATGCTATCTCCCATTCTGCCCTGACCAATTCATATTTTTACACCATATTACAACTCGTCAAAGGGACAAGTGAAGCCCATCCTTTGACCAAACCTGTACTAAACGGTTATAGTATCTCCCATTCTGCCCTGGCCTATTCACATTTCCTATATCCTCCTATCACCCCTTCACTGTCACAATGATTTTACTTGCTTAATTAAATGTGGTACGGTGTGCCTTTTTTGGCGGCTGTCATGACAACGCTCCGCAGTCCACGCTGGCCTTCTCACCCTCCTTTATGTTTGTGCTGGAAATGTTGATCAGAGCCTGCCATATTGTTACGCAGTCCTTCTTCCCTAAGTATATCTTTTGCCCCGTACGATCCATTCGCCCTCTCCCTTGTTCACATATTCAATCCACCTCTGCCAGACGAGGCGTTATTGGCCCTCCCCTGCGTCTGGGTGAGTAATTTGAGGCTTAAGCCTCTGAGTAAGTGCTATGGTCACACCCTTGCCACATGGACCACGTCTCTAATATAACTTACTGTCAGCCCAATATCTCCCATCAACTCTGCGTCTATCGTGTTTCGATCCCTAATACCAAGTCTATGACTTCCCATGCACTAGTCTATTGTGGGCCAACCCACAAACGTTGTGGTTCAACATTGATTCTAACCTAAGCAAGCAGTACCACAACATTTGTAGATTGGCACACAAGAGACTAGGGCATGGCAAGTCATATACTTGGTATTAGAGATAGAACAGGATAGACGCGGAGGCGATGGAGGCCAGTAGGCTGACAGTAGTTTGTATAAGAGACAAGGCCCATGTGGCAAAGGCGTGACCATGACACTTACTCAGAGGCTTGAGCCTCGAATTAGTCAGCCAGACGCAGGGGAGGGCCAAAAACGCCTCGGATGGCAGTGATGGGGTGGCAGGGGTGGAGTGAAATATGTGAACAAGGGAGAGGGCAGATGGATCATACGGGGCAAGAGAGACTGTGGTAAGACCTTGGGAAGGAGGACGGCGCAACAATATGGCAGACTCTGATCAACATTCCCAGCGCAAGGATGAAGAGAGGTGAAAATAGCAGCGTTGAGTGCGGAAGGTTCTCATAAAAGCCGCCCAAAAGGGCACACCGTACCACATTTTTTTAAGCAAGTAAAATATTGTGAAGGCATGATTGGGGGATATAGGAAATGTGAGATGTCATAACTGTTTAGCACACGTTTTGTCAAAGGATCGGCTTCAATTGCTTCTTTGACTAGTTCTAATATCGTGCTACGATTTATGGGCTGACAGTAGTTTTTGTAAGACGTGGTCCATGTGGCAAAGGCCTGACCATGACACTTACTCAGAGGCTTGAGCCTCGAATTAGTGACCCAGACGCAGGGTAAGGCCAACAACGCCTCAAGTTGGCACAGATGGGGTGGCAGGGGTCGGGTAAAATATGTGAACCAGAGAGAGGGCAGACAGAACTTACGGAGCAAGAGACTGAGGTAAGACCTAGGGAAGGAGGACTGCGTAAAAATATGGCAGGCTCCGATCAACATTCGCAGTACAATGATGAAGGGCAGTGAGAAGGCCAGTGTGGAGTGCAGAGTTCTAATGAAAGCCGCTAAAAAAGGGCACTGACCACATTTAATTAAGCAAGTAAAATATTGTGACAGTAAAGGCATGATTGGAGGATATAGGAAATGTGATAGGCTAGGGTAGAACAGGAGATATCTTAACTGTTTACACACGTTTGGTCAAAGGATCGACTTCACTTGTCTCTGACAAATTGTAATATAGTGCTACGAATGGTGAAACTCACTGACGATGCCGGCGAAACGTCTGGGAATGTACCACGT